AGTCCAAGGGACTCGCAGGAGTCTTCTCCAGCACCGGAGTTCAAAGGCCTCCAGTCTTTGGTGCTTAGCCTTTCTTATGGTCCAACTTTCATAGCCATACATTGCAACTGGGAAAACCATAGCCTTGACTATACACACTTTTGTTGGCAGAGTGATGCCTCTGCTTTTTAGTGTGCTGTCTAGATTTGCCATAGCTTTCCTCTCCAAGACTAGACTAGACTATTTTCTAATTCTATTCTATATTTTATTTCTTTCTGGCTTCTTGCAATATTTTCATGCTCAACAAATCTTTCTGTGATGTAGATCAGTGACACGTTCCTACTACCGTAACGCAGCCGGGGGAGTCCTGATGTTTGACCTAACCAACCGGGCATCATTTGAGAACATCAGGATCTGGCACCAGGAAGTGGTGGACACAGTCAAACCTCACCGCCCAGTTTTCGTGCTGGTGGGGAACAAGAGTGACCTGGAGGCTGAACGGAAGGTGGGACAAAAGGAAGCTGAGAAACTGGCGGTTTCCTTTGAAGCAAAGTATATCGAGACTTCGGCGAAAAGCAGCAGCAACGTGGAGGCAGTTTTCCAAATGTTATCTCTGGGCATCTACAAGGCCTTGAAAAGTGGGGTGATGAAACCTGGTCCACAGTGGGATGGAGTGAAAACCAAACTGCCATCGCCGGTTCGCTCTGAGGTTTCCACTCAGGATAAGAGAAAGAAATGTTCTTGCTAGCTGAAGACAAGAGCCACTGTGCAACGTTCTTGTGTTAACGATTTTGCAAAAGAATTCACACATTGTGCTACACTGTGGGTTGTGAAGCCATGATTCATTGAGTAAGCCACTATGGTTTAAGTCAGGGGTGTCCAACCTTGGCAACTTTAAGACTTGCTGGCTGAGGAATTCTGGGAGTTGAAGTCCACAAGTCTTAAAGTTGCCAAGGTTGGACACCCCTGGTTTAAGTACACACAATCTGCAGAGTCCTTAAATATGATTTATATGTGCACTATGGGGTTTGCAGAGCACAGAAAATTTCTCAAAGCAAATTTTGTAAGCCTACTTTGTGGGCACTAATCTTGAAGACTCCATCACAGAGGCCTACGGTCTCATTTATTCTTGCAAGTCAAGTAAAAAAAAAAAAGCGTTCAAGTGTAGCTGCCAAGCTAGGGTTGAACTCATGAAGAATCAAGCTGAGGATACCTGTGGATCAAGGTAACTTATTTGGTGTGGCGGCTGTGTGCAGTGGTGGGTTTTAAATTTTTTTACCCCTGGTTCTGTGAGCATGGCTTTGCGTGTGTGGAGGGACCTTCTCCTGCAATCCTGCACTCTCCTTGTCTTCGACAGCTAACGCGCGCGGCAATCCGCTGTGTCGTGTGAAGCAGCTTAGCTTCAAAACCAGGAAATAAAGATCAGAATAGAGCCAGGTCGGATGGAACGGCCTAGCAGCTGACTATTGGAGTGAACCGATTCGCTCACAGATGATCCTGGGAACTACCTGTATTTAGTATTTTTTTTAGTATTTATTTGATTTGTCAATCGCTTACAAGATACAGGTATAAGAATAAATATACTGTAGTTTTGAATACATGAGATATAAGAAAAATAAAAAAACAATAGGACAGGGACAGTAGGCACAATTGGTGTGCTTATGCACGCCCCCTACAGGCCACTGGGCTGTAGACAACTTTCCATACACATCTCTTAACACTTAAACAAGGATTCATGGATTGTCAGAACTCAGCTTGTCTTTCCTTGGCAGTTACCTCTCACACTTCTAGCTACTCACTGCACTTCACATGAGAGCTGTTATGTAGAGAATCATTTACTCTTGCAGGATCTACATCTCGGGACTTTTAAAAAAAATTGGATTGTTTATTAAAAGTGTTTCCATAAATTACTTAGTGGTAAGGAAAGGTCCTTTCCCAATCTACCCATTGTCACTGAAGCGGTGGGGATGATACAGAATCTTTTTTTTTTTTTTAAATTAAGATAAAAATTGATACAGGCTAATATAAGAAAAGAGAAAGCTAATGCAAGAAAGGGAAAATTGTAAAAGAAAAATAGAAAAGAAAAAAAGATACGAGGTGACTTCCATTCTTTGTAGCAGTTAAAAATACAATAATAAATTTACCTCTTTCTATTAAGATACATATGTATTATTAGCCTTTTGTATTTATTGTTGAAAATCTTGTACTTATTCTATATACCTTCTCAATGTATACCTCTGATTCCTCATCTCAATCAAAAAAAATTGCTAAAGTTTGAATAACCTTTTCTGTAATATCTTCACCAAAATACTCTGGAATTACTCTAAATCTCGAACAAAATTCCTTCAGTTCCAGGAAACCAGACTTATTCTTGTTAGGGATATTTAAAAAGAAATGTGGGAAAAATATAAAATATATAATATTACACATTTTAACGGCTGCTAGAATTGCCTACGTTCAATGTTGGAAGCACAATTATATACTATCAGACAAATTGATCATTCAAAAAATAATGGTGTGTGCTGAGATGGATAAATTAACCCTGATGTAGCGAGAGAAAGAGGACTCTGAATATTATAGAATTTGGGGAAAACGATGATTGGATTGAATTAAGACAAATGGATGATGAAAGAATTAATGATAAGCAACCTATAAAGGTTTACATTTGCATAAATTGTATATTTTTGTAAATAAGCACAAAATAGATTATGAGATAGATGTCACATACTGTTAATGTCATAATATGTATATTTTTGGTTCGTTTAAAGGTATAAAAGACTAATAAAGTTTAATTAAAAAAAGAAATTATCTAATTCTTCTTTCAGCTCTCCGTCCATAATTTTTATGTTACTCTCAAGAATTTGCACTTTGCCGTTGTTTTACATTTCCAGACACTTGTTTTACAGGGGCTTTCTTCAGTAAAACGTATCACAGCCTAGTCTATTAGGGCCATGGTGGCACAGTGGTTAGGATGTAGTATTGCAGGCTAACTCTGCCCATAGCCAGGTGTTCGATCCCGACGAGCTTGAGGTTGACTTAGCCTTCCATCCTCCCAAGTTGGTAAAATGAGGACCCAGATTGTTGGGGGCAATATGCTGAAATTGTAAACCTCCGAGTGTGAGAGCAAGTCTCACGAATTCCATCTGTACACATCCATTCACACCTTCAGATAAGCACAGGGCACAACGTTGCATGTCATCACTACTCTGTGACATTAAAGGATGATCAGCATTGTGTCCAAGTGACAATATATTGTCCTTGATATAATTATGTTTAACACATTCTTACATTGCTTCAAAATTTGCTGTTTGATCCTCCAGTGACAAGTCAGCTTGAAATGGGACTAACATAAGCATCATCTAACAAACCCAATACCATACAGTATATCACTTTCTAATCTGATTGGTAACCAACTCAGTTACTCCAGTTTAAGTGGCAGATTTCATATAAACTTGCCATCACTATGAAGATGCTCTTAATACCAACCCAGCAACAAATGAAAAGTAGCAAGAGTTTGAAATAAATTTCTTCCAGGTAAAACTTTTATTAAGTGGCACTGCTTGTTTCACTCATACTGTCATCTTTCCTTTGTAATTTTCCTGGGTTTTCCTCAAAACAAATGCAGTACACACAACAGCTTTAAAGGCGAGAGGTACTTTCCAGACTTAACAAGTTAAAACATGCTTAATTCCACAGCAATGCAATGTTGTAATCAGACTTCACCTTTTTAAGCACTAAGGATTTGATTTTTGGGAGAGAGAAAAAAACCTGTTATAGTTTCCTGGAATACCAAATGATATTTAAGTATCACAACTATAAAATATTCACAGATCCAATCAGGCATAAAGAGAAGGAGGGAGTTTTCCAAGCTTCTTATTGGTAATTAATTTAGCTTTCAGTAACAAAGAATGTAGATGCTAAAGACATTGCAGCTGATGCTATTTCAGATTCCTAGTTTCAGATCTATGTAGCTGACATTGGATGGGGTGGCTTTTAAAAGACAAATGGAATTACAAGTTGTTGATATCAAGGTTAGGAGAAACCGACTCTGAAGCATGGTATTTGTTGTGACAACAGTAACTTTTAAGTACCCATAATTTCACCTTAGGTTGGTTTTGCAGGTGCATTTAAAATAAACAGTCCACTTCAGTGTATGGGTGCAGCCCACACATACATATCAGTAACAAGGCTGCCAGTTAGAAGTGGTGGGAGTTCCATCTTAATATACCTGGATGGAGGAAAGCAGATTAAATGTGCTAATCTAAATCCATTCAGTGGTTATTCCATCTTTTTTTCAATGAAAAAACAAAACGAAAAACCAATTCCAAAGAATGCACTAGAAGCTGGACTATACACGTGACATTCTACAGCTTCCATTAAACCCCATAAACAAGCAGATGTACATTAGCAGCCCTGCATGAAAATATCTCCTGTATCACATGGAAATGTCTTCACTGTTAATAGCTCTTTAAGGCCAGAAGCTGGATGCAGGTCAGTGGATAGTCTCAGAGGCAATGAGATGAAAGGGACCACGTGAGATAGGCAGCTTTAACAATTGAGATAGGACAGAAATCCATGCGATGCTGGTTAAGGCAGTGTTTCTTAACCGTGGCAACTTCCCTAGCGTGATGGCTGGGGAATTCTGGGAGTTGAAGTCCATACATCTTTTCAGTTGCCAAGATTGAGAAATAATAGGTTAAAGAAGTAGACTGGGTCTTGGGGAAAATACAGCTCCAATCCCCTTGTGAAGTTCTGAATTATTTCTAGGCTGTTCTTTCTCAATTCTATAGCTTCTGAGGATAAAATGAGAGCTAATATCCCTTCTACACTAAGTATGACTCTGAGAAAAGGGAAGATCTAAAAGAACAGGAATATAAGAATGTTTCACACTGTTCATCCTACTAGGAGAAGCACTGTGGTCTTCCTAGCTGGTTGATGCCATTTTCTTATTCAAAGCACTCAATCATCCTGGATGTCATCTTGGCATAATTCATGAGACACCTTAGAAAAGCAGATACATGGGGTATTCATTTATTGTTACATTTTCAACTAATGGAAACTTACACAAATTCTTCTTTTAAAGTCCCTGCTGGATGGCTCAATGCAAAGCTGAGGCAGTCAGCACTTATAGCGAAAACAAAAGACAATGGAGGATGGTGGAGAGACCCAAACCAGTGGCTGTTTCCTCAGTTCAGAGTATGGGCCAAGCACCCCCCCCCCTCTCGGCTGCTCCAATGTAGCTTATCAAGTGTGAAGTGGGGAGGGAGGATACACATTTTCTGCAAGCTTCTCCTTCCGAAACCACCTTCCCCTCCAGAAGCAGTGAAGTAGCTTTTCACAATGCACGGATATCTGAAACAGCAAATACTTCTACGCCAGTAAAATGCTAGGTGTCAAGTGTGCTTTTAGAATTCAGAACCTTCCTGGGAGGAGAGGGCCAGCATCCAATCAAAAGGGGCATTTCACTGAACTTACAGGGGGGGAAAAAAAAGAAAAAAGAACCACAGATTGTACCAAAGCTTCTGGATGCAAAGAAGGGTGAGTGATCCCATGCCACAGCCATTGGACAGAGACTATATATATATATCTTGGGAACCGTAAGGCAGTTTAACCATGCCTGCGGGCTGCTTTAAAAAAAAAAAGGTTTTTTTTGTAGTTCAAGCCTTGTTTCTACTGCATTTTTACAGGACTTGGGGTAGAAAAAGAATTCAACTTTCCCCACCATCCTGAGCATTAAATTAAAGAAAAGAATAGATTTTCAACTGAAGTTCCTGTCAATACTGTGGTCTGCTTTTGAGACCCATCATTCATTTTTCTCTGCAAGAAGTCCAAATACCGTAAATAGCAACATTACAAGTAGCTGAGAGGGAGGGGGGATGATGAAAAAAAAATAAAATCTATGGCCACTTCTAATACTGTTCTCAAAAATAGCAAAACGTTTTATCCCTTGGGCAATCATGGATACCGTAATATCACTTAGGAGGAGGAAAATAAAAGTCTATGCTCCGAGATAGGTTCCTTTGGGGGAACAGATGTGAGGAGACCGACTGACGGTTGGCAAATCTTCTCTTAATAACCCTTTATTGCTGCACTGTGAAAATATACGCTTCCCTGTGAAGCATTGCAAAAAATAAATTTAAAAATTATCCCATAGATGACCTCAAGGGTACTTTCCACAGCTTCAGAGGCAGACTTTTTTTTTTTTCTCCCTCATACAAGAGTCTTTTTCTTTTCATTTCTCTGTCTTTTCCCAGAGTTATTTCTTGGTTGTTTTGCGGATCAATGCCATTCTCTGAAAAAGAAAAGGTGGAAAGACAGCATGAAGATGGGTCTCTCGATGTAACGGAAGCTGTGGATGGCCTCCCTTAGACTTCATAAGTTAAACTAAGAACAGGATTCATGGAACTCAAACAGGTAATTTTACAGTTCACCCGACCATCCACCTCTCCAGAGTACCAGCAGCTGCTGAGTTCCCAAAGCTGGCTTGAGGCTCCAATTAAAGAGGTCCATCTCTTCTCTTTTTCCCCGTTTAAATCACTCCCAAGTCATATCCTATCTCCAACGTTGCCCTTTGAGCTTGAAGGAAAGATGCCTAGCCAATTCTGTTCATTTCCTTACAGGCCAAATGGTAATTTCAGGGTAGGCAGCCCTGGTTCAGAACAACATTCCCCACAAATTATATTTTTTTTAATAAATAGAACTGAAATGATTTATTAACTGAGGGGGGGGGAAAGAGAGTGAGGTGAGGCTCAGGAGATCCTATTTTTTTAATACTTAAATCATACAAACAATTAAGAAAAGAGACTGAGGCAGGCGTCATGATTTTTACAAAAGCCAAGGTGGAATTTGAACATTGGAAATTGGGCATGAAACTTCAACTTGTTTAGCAAGCTCTGTTTTTCATTTGAGATATTCCCTTTTCTTGCTATTTATCATTGGTTTGACGGAGCAGAAAATATCTGCATCACATCATATCACTTAGGTGTGAATTATGGGGGGGTGCAGGGGAAGAGATCCTTACCTGTTTGTGAGCTTCTGTAGTGCAGGCTTTTTTATATGGCCTGATTTCTTCAGAGCCAAAACCTGGGATCCACATATTCCACTGGCGTTCTAGGGACAGCAACAGCATCAGAGTGGGTCGTGGTGAGGAAATGAAATCATACGCAGATGACGATTTGAACAAGGGATACAAAACAGGCAAGAGAAACAGACTCAGCCATTTAGAAAGCAATGAATAACCCACTATATCACAGTTCCCCAACCTTTCCGGCTTTGCAGAGGAGAATGGTTCTGTGCAAGCAGTGTGTGTGCAGCTCCATTTGCATGAGCAGCGTGCACACACACACCTTCTGCTCACACAGAGCAGGCATGTGCCTGCTCACCTGCTGCTCGTTCAAGTGGGGATGTGTGTGTACACTTGGCCGCTGTTCCTGTGGCCCGTTTGTAAATAGTTCACAGCCCATTAGTGGACCACGGCCCAGAGGTTAGGGACCCCTGCACTATATCATTGAGAATTACATGCTCTTGCAGGAATCTGACTCCCCCAATCTGAGCCCTTTTTTGTATCTCTTCTGGCAAACCTGTGAGGCACCTCATAAAAATACCTCAAGATCTTAAATCTTTCCAATATGGGCCTTGCATTCTGGGCTGACGGATGACTGACAAAAGATAAGCTTGCAGGCAAAGACAGGAAAAGTGAAGCATGACGCCATTTATGGTTACCAGAAAGAATCTGGAAACCACTTTTTTGGTGCTTCTACCATTGCAGGAGATTGATCTGTGATTCCTTTCCATGCATATCCATGCATTTCCCCAATGAGACTGTAGCAATCATTGGTTGGGAAGGTGCAGCTATGCAAAAGTTACCACACCACATTACCCTATAAAACAGTGCTTACTAACCTTAGTAATTTTAAGAAGTGTGGACTGGCTGGGGTATTCTGGGAGTAGGAGTCCACACATTTTAAAATGGCTAAGGTTGGGAAAGACTGCTTTAAAACATGACAGCAATGCAGGAGTCACAGAATTGAAACTACCATGCTGCGGCTTGCAACTTTCTCCATTCCAGTGTCCTCCAGAAGTTATAGGCTACAACATTTCATCATGTCCACTGCACTTGCCTCATGCAAGCCGCACCCGTGTGTGTGTGGGGAGTACAAGATAGAGAAAACTCCTGAAAGGCTCAGCTGTGACCTGAGAACGCCACACAGTATTTATTACTACGATTCAGATAGTGGCTCATTGAAGGAGCAAAGAAGGAAAAAACAAGGAGGGTGACTAGGAGCAAGATGGACAAACTCAGCTATGGTGGCAATAAATGCACCATTGGGAGATTTGACAGAACTGCTTAGGGATAGATGGAGAAAATCTTTCTAGGTGTCAAAAATAACTTGATGGCACAGAAATCAACGTAACTTGAGGGGAAAGTTTGCAGATTGTCTCTGCAATGTAGCCCAGAAGAAACACTGAGGGTTATGGACAAAACAATCCAAAACAACTGATAGGTTAAGCTGGCCGCTATCATGAAATAGACACATGTACGTCGTTGCACTGACCAAGATGCAGCTGGACATCCTTTACTTCCAAAGTGTTAGACTTGCGATGCCGTGCAAGCTGGCAGGCAGCGGTCACCACGCTTTCAATGAAGTCGTCAGCTATTTGCAGCAACATCTGTCAAAATGGAATTCAGCATCAGCAAGAATGGCAGAGGTTACTACACTTTGCTTCAGGTTATTCTTCTGACAAATTCAAGGTACTGACAGAGCATTCTTGGGAAACCCCTCCCCCCAAAAGAAAAATTAGGAATAAAATGGCACATTTTAACAAAGGAGAGGTTTAGATGTTTGTGATAATCATTTCAGCTCAGGCCCGCCTACCTCCTCCACATCTTCATCCAGCTGTTCATTTGGATCCACTTCTCTAACCAGATCCTGTAGTTTCTTCTTTGTTAATATCTGTAGAAAATATCGGTACATTTTATTGGGTTAGTTCAACCATAGTCATTTCTGCAGTTAAAATCAAAAGATCTTGCTTAGGAGGACTTCCAGTCAGCAATGTATATGGTGCCCCTAAAGCTGGCTCAGGAATTCTGGGAGTTGAAGTCTACCAGTCATAAAGGGGCCATAATTCCCCACCACTGCTCTAAAGCAACTCCTCTACCCAGAGCCCTCCAGATGTGCTGACTACATCTCACATCATGGCCAATTACCTGATTACTTTCAGGACTGAGGCGCCCACCACTGCTAGGGGTCCCAGGCATCTTTGCCACAGAGGTATTGTTTGCCATGGAACTATGAGGAGGAGTATTGCCTGCTTCTGCTTTGATTGAAGAAAAGTTTGATAAATTGATCAAAGTAGATGGACCAAACTGGTTCATAATCTGCTGAGCTTTAGCCTTGAGGTCATAGAGCTTATCCAGATCTTGCTTCTTCTTGGGATTATGTGGGCCCAAACCAATCAGCTAGAAGAAGAAACAGACCTCAAACTTAAAAACAAGATGGCAGAATTGAAATGTCAGTATCTTGGACATGTTAACCGAGTTCAAGAATCTGTTATTACAAAAGCAACTTATCAGTGAAAATATACCCAGTATTGTAAATAGCCCACTTCTTAGTTTTTTTCCTGAGCCGTAAATTATTGAATGTAGTACATTAATTCAGCTCAGACTATATTAGTTTATTTTAACATTGCAACTTGTAACACCACATCAAGGCCAAACCATGCTGTACATGTACAATCAAAAATAGCAAGTTCAATATCATCTTTATTACTTCGGGATTAAGAACAAGGTCCAGACAGAATACACAAAATATTTAGATTACAATGTTAATATTCCATTCTTATTATCATGCATATACTATGCTCAACACATTGACAAAAAGACAATGATATTAAGTTTTGTGGGTGAGATTCTCATTTAGAACTGCTTTCAATATAATCAAATATTTCTTGTCAAGGTAGAATATGACTGCCATTAAAAGGAGCTGGCTATGAAAGAAAGGAAGGGCAATGAGTTCAAAGCTAGAATAGAATATAATAGAATACTTTATTGGCCAAGTGTGATTGGACACACAAGGAATAAGCTTTAGATTCTCTTTTCTACCCAAAGTTTAATTATTTTGCCTCATTCACAAGCTGTATCTTCTCTGATTTATTTTAAAAAAATACACATAGATTGTTTCTTTAATCTCACCTATTTGAAAGCTTCACAATTTAGGTTCATTGCACAGTAAGAAGGTACAATCCAATTTATCATCCTGGATTAACTGTTCTCCTAAAAACCAAGTTAAAACTTGGTTCTTATAAAATATTATAAAATATTCAATGGCTCCAACAATAATGAAATGCTAGAATGCAGAGATTGAACAGAATAGAATAACAAGAGTTGGAAGGAACCTTGGAGGTCTTCTAGTCTGCTTAGGCAAATGTTATCCAATCTCTTCTTAAAAACTTCCAGTGTTGGAACAACTTCTGGAGGCAAGTTGTTCCACTGATTAATTATTCTGTCAGGAAGTTTCTCCTTAGTTTTAAGGTTGCTTCTCTCCTTGATTAGTTTCTACTCATTGCTTCTTGTCCTGCCCTCAGGTGCTTTGGAGAATAGCTCGACTCCTTTGTGGCAGCCCCTAAAATATTGGAACACTGCTATCATGTCAATCCTGGTCCTAGATTGATAGAATAAAGCAAACCTAAATTCTAATCTGTACAAGGACTCGGAAGAGAGGTTTCAGTCACATATTCAATGTCTTGAATTAAAAAATAGCACATAGATCATATATATATATATATATATATATATTCTGTTAATAAACTGGAAAGCAATGCATTCTTGCAAAGCTTGTTTACCATCAGATTTTAATCTCTGCACACAATTAAAATTAACAAGTCACAAACCTGCAGCTTTTCATTATGATGCTAGCATGCCATGCTATGGTCACTTCAAGCCAATTTACTTACAGCTATCTGAGTATCTAGATCTTTAATTACATCAGAAACTGCTGTGGGGCCATTAAATGGAGAGGCCATTTTCAAAAAAAAAAAAAAAAATGCTCCTGCAAATAAATGGTCAGAATTAACCTACATAACAGTTCTTCCCTGGTCGTGAATACTTATAAAATTCTTTCAGAACATTGTGTTCCTGCCTCCAGCCTGAAAAATAAGAGAGACTCTGATATGCAACCAAGCACCACAACACAGGATTTTCCTCCCCCTTTATGTCTCCTTTTAAAATGGTCTCATAATTTGGGAGGATACTGCTCCAAACATTTTGCCAACCAAAGTCACTGACAGCACAAGCTTACAGAAATCAAAGCAGTAGTTATCAAAAGGCAACCCAAAAGGATATACCATGTTCCATCAAGTAATTAAGAGCCCAAAAGGACTAAACAGCCTTGATTTGGTTCTAAAGGGGTTACCATTCATGGGTTTTACGGGTTGTTTAAGTAGGTGTATACATGGACTATCACAAAATAACGTACCAATAGCAATAACACACACACACACAAAATACTGTATTGTTTTTTTTCTTCAAAATACATTAAAAAAAAAAGGATAAAAGGTGATATAGGGGCGTTTGAAAACCAAAGTCACGTCTACCAAAGTGGGACTCTTGCTGTCAAGGGGAGGAGGGCGGGAAGCCTATCTAAGAGAGCCCGAGTGATGTGGAGGCAGTATTGGGCTGGCTGTGTGTGGGAATAAGTTACAGCTCCCCCCCCGCCCGCCCGTCCTCAGGCCAGCCCACCCTCAAGGGCTGTTGTGTAGGGAAAAGAGTCCTGGGACTACACTTAGATATGGCGCCCAACGCTAAACAGCAAATAGGCATCTCTCCTAGACTCCTTTTCTCCGTCGCCTTGTCTGTTTAAGCGGGGTTTCACCCCGGCCACCCCTATGTCTCTGTCACCGCCCCACTCCCTACCTCCCTTACTTACCGGCGCCTCAGCCGCCTAGGTTCTCATACCGTCCGCGCTCCCTCGGACGAGCCGCCGCCAGCCGCCTTCGCCTTCAGCGGGTTCTCCGCCGACACAACACTTCCGGGGTCACGACCGCGAAGCCACGGAAGTGCCGGGAAACACCCTTTTGCCAGCCCGCGCGCCAAACCGGCCTGCTCAACCAACCAATCGGGGCGTCCTTTTCTGCTTGTCGTCCGTTGGGCGGCCCTGGCTTGACTGCGCAAGCGCCAACTCCGGAGGGCGCTGGTTTGGGAGTTGTAGTTCAGGCAGCCGCGGCGAAGTTGGTTTTCTTTTTCTTCCCCGTAGTCTTCGCTCTTGTTCTGGGCAGAAGAAAGCGGACCCCTCCGTAACGCGAGGAATAATAGGGCTCTCGTTCTGCCCGCTCGCAGGACGTTGCCTATCCAGGCGAACTGTAAATTTAAGGCAGGGGTTGCTGGCTGAGGAATTCTGGGAGTTGAAGCCCACAAGTCTTAAAGTT